CAGGCGGACTGGGCGGAGGCTCCCTGAGAGCGGTCTCCAGGTCCCACTGGGAGGTTGGCATCTGTGCCACAAGGCAGCCTCGCCTAGGGCACAGAAACACCTCGTGCCGGCCCTGCCTAGAGCATCCCTGACAGATGTTTGTCCAGCTGTTGCTTAAAGACTGCCAGTGAGGGGAAGCTCATCACCTCCCTAGGCAGCTGATTCCACTGTAGAACAACTCTTACTGTAAAAACGTTTTTCCTAATATTCAGCCGGTACCTTCCTGCTCTTCATTTAAACCCATTATTGTGAGTCCTATCCTCTGCTGCCAACAGGAACAGCTTCCTGCCCTCCTCTAAGTGACAGCCCTTCAAATACTTTGAGGTATTCAAATACTTTGAAGTATTTGAGGTATTCAAATACTTTGAAATGACCTTGGTTATCAGGCTGCAGGCCAATAGTTAGTGTAGCAGCCATCTGCTGGGGTTGCTTGTCTTGCTTTGTTGCTGGATTAGTTGATGGGTTTAGCATGATCTGTTAGGCAAGTTTGCTTCGATCTTGGAGAAAGGGAAGTCTAGTTGATAGTAGAGTGCCTTTTACTGTGCTCAGACTTCCCTGCACCCCTAGTGGCTGCAGCCAGAACTGCATTAAAAATAAGTGGAAAGAGGATCACCTGGATGCAGCATGATGCTGACGTCAAGGGCTCTCCGGCAGATTCTCCTGAATTCTGTCCCCCAGTACCCTTCTGTCAGCAGCCCTGCTCTTGCCAGCTCCCACATCCACCCACTCAGCCTTCTCTAGGTTTTCATTGTATTAGGGCTTCATCCAGCCCATTGCTGACTCCAGGCACCTGTTCCTCTGACTAGCAAGATTCTGAAGAGAAGGAGAGAAGACGGACTGTCATCAGTATACTGATGACTTTATGTTTCAAATCTCCCAAGGGTTTTATGTAGATGTTGAATACCGGGGGGGGGGGGCAGATAGAATCTTGCTGAACACCCCACAATGGGCTGGAGCAGCACCCTAACACCAGGGGCTCATCACGTAGGAGGAAAATTACTGCAAAACATTGCCTCCACCCCTTTTGTTGGCAAGGTGCAACTTAAATTACTGGGGTGGGACAGCTTATAAGTATAAATGTCCAAATTCAATACGTGTGTGTGGGGTTAGGCATCAGGAACCCTGAAGAAGGTCTCTGTCTATAGATCCTACATAGTTTCTGGAACTTGCTGGCAAGGAGCACCTTTCACATCTACTTTTTAAGAGGGCAGTGGCAGTAGCTTACTGATTTTTGAGGGGTAGGGGAGCAACATGAGAGTGGGGACATCAAACCATATGTTTTCCCTGTTTTTCCTTTCACCTTTTCTGGAGCAGATCTACAACCCTCAAATTCAGGGGTCCCCAACCTGTTCGAGCGCACAGGCACCTTGGAATTTTGAGAGGGGTGATGAGTGCCAGACCAAAATGGCTGCCAAAGAAGGTGGAGCCAAACCCAAAATGGCTGCCACATTAGCTGGAGCCAAACACAATACCTTCCTTCTTGCTTTCCAAACGAATCCCAGCAGGGGGATAAAGGGGAATAAAAAGAAATGAGGGAGAAGGAGAAGCAGGGAGACAAAGAAGGAAAGCCTGAAAGGGAAATGGAACCACTCACTGTCTAAGAAAACCTGGGTGCTTACCAGTCCTCCTGATTCTCAGGTGGCTGCCTGTGGCTGCTACTATAGCTGTGGAAAACCCCTTTGAATGAGGGCAGCCAATAACAGTGTCTTACAGTTGCCCCATCTACTTTCTGAAAAGCTTGGAGGGCACCACGGCAAGTACTGGTGGGTACCATGTTGGGGGTCCCTCCTCTAATTGCTGTAATCGTGGTGGTGACGGAAAAGGTGTTGTACCAAAGTACTTGCTGTAAGTGGACTGCAGTATGATTACAGCTCTCTATCTAATGTTCTGTCTTCCCCGTTATTATTTATATAGCTTCTTAGCCATCAGTGTCTTTTTGGTGTTTTGACTACTTTAAAGCAGGGTTACAATCTGTCTGAAGATTCAGTTGAAGGTTAAGTGTCATGTCCCAGACGGGACCAAAAGAGGCAAAATAGTTCTACAAGGTGTTTTTGTTGTGCCGTTGCGTTGAGGATGAGATAATAAAGTACAGTGGCTGGAGTTTTTGTCTGTGTGCCAAGAAGGTGGTTGATACAAACGTAGTTTTAGAAACATTCAGAACATTGGGACCGAACCATTTAAAGTCCTGTCGAATTTAGAATAATGTTTGTACAGTTGGATTTGTTTTATGTTGCTTTATACATCAAACCGTTGGTGGGATTGTCTGTCCAATAGGCTAATTGACATTACTCCCAGCTGAGCTCAAGCACAAAATTATTAGAGTAGCACGGGCCTTGCATCTGTGCTGTAGACACACAGCTGCCAAGGTGCCTGCTAATCTGAATTTTAGGATTAATACCTTGTTTCGCTAAAAGAAGCTACTGCTGAGCACAATTGCAGCTTCACAAAAGCAATTGGACTGTCAACTGTTTCCCACATGTCATTTCAATAAAGAGAGTCCTGCTTCCATATAACATCCTAATAACTAATTGCGACTTGAATCCAGCAGGGCGTAATTTCTTGCCTTCCCGCCTCTTCCTTCTCCACCCCAAAATGCAGGGGTCCTCCAGGAGAGGCATTTGGGGCTGTAGATGGGAGGTGAGAAGGTCATGCTCCGTGGGTAAAAACTCTTCTGCTCATGGAAATGCTCCATTGCATCTAACTCTGTATTTATTTCGAATCGTAGAATCATAGTGTTGGAAGGCACCTCTAGGGCCATCTAGTCCACCCCCCTACACAATGCAGGAAATTCACAAATACACCCCCCCCCCAACTCCAGTGACTGCTGTTCCACACCCAGAAGATGACAAAAATCCTCCAGGATCTCCAGACAACTTGGCCAGGAGAAAAACCACCTCCTGACCCTAAAGTGGCCAGGAATCAATTTTTCTCCAGGCCAACTTGGCTGGAGATCCTGGAGGCCTTCCATCATCTTCTGGCCTCCCATCTACTTCCTCTCCCCCCCACAGCAGCAGTGGCTGCAGCCACTCTCCAGGAATCACAACAGATTGCCCAAATACAGAGATCATTTAGCTCAGATGCTAACTTCTAGCATTAAAAAACTGGAGCATTTTTAGAAGCCCTTAGAACAAAACTGTCGGTCACTTCCTGGCAGTAGTTCCCACAGAGCAGCTGCTTAACCGTGATCTCTCAGCAGTAAACTTGCTATACTTAATTCTGTGTCCAGATTTCCTAATTTAATAGCCTGTTGGTTTTCTTGTGTGGGATTCTGGGGCATACTCAGTTTTGAACTAAGATTCTGCTGCTGCAATGGCGCTGCTTCCATTTTTGTCGCGTCATATATAATGCAGCACCTAGGTGAAAGCAGCCGGCATAGCCCAGACTGACTCAAGCTTGTCAGAACTTGGAAGCTAAGCAGGGTCAGCCTGGTTAGTACTTGGATGGGAAGGCTAAGGCTGCTATGCAGCGGTAGGCAACGGCAAACCATGTTTGCTTCTATCTTGCCTTGAAAATGGCTTGAGAGGTTGCCATAAGCAGTGTTCCCTCTAAGCTGAGTTACTGTGAGCTAGCTCACAGCTTTTGAGCCTCCAGCTCACACATTTTTGTCTTAGCTCAGGAAGGATGGCTCCAAAGCAAACTAATTTACGCAGAAGCCAAATCGCTCGTTCACAACTTTAATGCCAGTAGCTCACAGAGTAGAATTTTTGCTCACAAAACTCCACGGCTTAGAGGGAGCATTGGCCCGTAAGTCAGTTGTGACTTGATGGCACAAACACATGAACACAGGAAGCTGCTTTATACCAGACAGACTATCAGTCCGTTGAGCCTACTCTGATTGGCAGCTGCAGTTGCCTTTTCTTCCCAGCCCCCGCTGAGGCCTGGCTCCTAAGCCATGCAGGTCTTTTACGGATCTCTGGCATCACTTTGAGCCCAGCTTTATTTGCTTTCGACAGGCCTGATCATGCTACGGAACTGCCACCTTGCCTTACACCCAGAGCAAAGAGTGCTATAATGAAAGGACGTATATGGCCTATGCTAGCTCAATCTCACTAGACCTCAGAAGCTAAGGCAGGGTCCTCCCCTGGTTAGAACTTGGATGGGAGACCACCAAGGGAATCCAGGGTCACTGCGCAGAAGCAAACCACCTCTGTTCGTCTCTTGCCTTGAAAACCCTACAGGGTTGCCATAAGTCAGTTGCAACTTGACAGCACTTTCCACCCATTGGTGGTAGTAGAAAGTGCCATCAAGAAGAAGAAGAGGAGAAGGAAGAGAAGGAGATTGGATTTATACCCCGCCGTTACCTTGGAGTTTCAGAGCGGCTTACAAACTCCTTTCCCTTCTCCTCCCCACAACAGACACCCTGAGAGGTAGGTGGGGCTGAGAGAGCTCTTGACAGAAACTGCTCTTTTTCAAGGACAGCTCTGACAGAACTCTGGCTTGCCCAAGGTCATCCAGCAGCTGCAAGTGGAGGCGTGGGGGATCAAACCCGGTTATCCCAGATTAGAGTCCGCGCACCTGACCACTACACCAAACTGGCTCTCAAGTCAAGTCACAGAGAATCCATTGGGGGGGGTGGACAGCACCCTCGAGTCACTGTGAAGACCCCATCAGGTTTTCAAGGCAAGAGGCGAACAGAGGTGGGTTGCCCTTGCCTGCCTTTGTGTAGCAACCCTGGACTTCCTTGGTCGTCTTCCCTCTAACTACTAACCAGGGCTGACCCTGCTTAGCTTCTGAGATCTGACAAGACCAGGCTAGCCTGGGCACCACCAGGTCAGGGCATTCCGACCATGACTGCATGGAGTTAAGGAAGGTCTCGGTTATGTGTTAGTTTTTATGTGTAGTTTGTTGGGCTCAGTTCCCCCGGGTGCTCTAAATCTTGAATCCTAAAACCGATCACGGGGGGATTTCTGCCTTTCTGCGTATTCACACTTTAAATTCTGTCTTTCACAAAAACCAATTAGATGACAGCGCTTCTGCCGCCAGCAGCATGGAGGTGACAGACCGCATTGCTTCGCTGGAGCAGCGTGTCCAGTTGCAGGAAGATGATATTCAGTTGCTCAAGTCAGCTCTGGCAGACGTGGTGAGACGCCTGAACATTACGGAGGAGCAGCAGGCCATGCAGAACAAGAAAGGACCTACCAAAGGTATCTGATTTTTGAATGCGCTCACACTCAGGTGCTGATTGCTGTTGAATTTGAGCGACGTCAGAGTAGCCTTGATCATTCCTCTCAGCGGTCGGTTGAGGACAGGGAATGGTTTGGCAGCAGTTCATGAATCCGAGGTTTGACTTCAGCGGGGACTTTGCTGGCCTTTATTGTTCCAGTGAGGGTGGCTTTCTCCGTTGTTGTTTACTTGTTCTTCTTCCTGGGATGCAAGTGAGCGCTGTAATCTAACACCAGCAGCCATTTAGAAGACTTGCACAGCATCTCAGTTTGGTGTAGTGGTTAAGTGCGCAGATCTGGGAAAACCGGGTTTGATTCCCCATGCCTCCACTTGCAGCTGCTGGATGACCTTGGGCAAGCTGTAGTTCTGGCACAGCTGTTCTTGGAAAAGAGCAGTTTCTGTCAGAGCTCTCTCAGCCCCACCTACCTCACAGGGTGTCAGTTGTGGGGAGGGGAAGGGAAAGGAGTTTGTAAGCCCCTCTGAGACTCCTTTGGGTAGTGAAGGGTGGGGTATAAATCCAATCTCTTCTTCTTCTTAAGATCAAGGCCTGAAAAATATGCTTCTTTTTTTTTTTTGCCTCTTCCCCAAACTTAAAAAAAATTTTTTTAAACAGTTGGCCTGGTGAGCACAAACGTTTGCACAGCGTTTTCTGTCCTTTTGGTTGGCCCTAACAAAAGGTGAGGTGCTGCGGTGGCTCAAGTGGTTAAGACACTGAAGTGCAGGCTGTGGAAGGTCGGTAGTTCAGCAGTTCGAGACCCGAGTGTGCCGTATGATGGAGTGAGCTCCTGTCTCTAGTTCCAGCTCCTGTCAACCTAGCAGGTCGAAAGCAAGAAATTGCAAGTAGATAAATAGGTACCACTTCAGTGGGAAGGTAACAGCGTTCCGTGCGCCTAGGTGTTTAGTCATGCTGGCCACATGACCATGGAAATGTCTTTGGACAGCGCTGGCTCTTCAGCTTTGAAACGGAGATGAGCACCGGAACCCTAGCGTCGGATTCGACTGGCTTTCGAGCAAGGGAACCTTTACCTTTTAACAAAAGGTGTATGGAGTTTGTTTTTTGTTTTGGATTCAACATGTTCAGTCTACCTTAAGACAGAGGGCCCCAACCAGTGTTCCCTCTAAGCTGAGTTAGTGTGAGCTAGCTCAGTTTTTTAGCCTCCGGCTCACACATTTTTGTCTTAGCTCAGGAACGATGGCTCCAGAGCAGACTAATTTATGCAGTAGCCAAATCGCTCACTCACGGCTTTAATGCCAGCAGCTCACAGAGTAGACTTTTTGCTCACAAGACTACACAGCTTAGAGGGAGCATTGGTCCCAACCTTTTTGGTACGGTGACCCAAAAGTCCAAATATATTTGGTATGATGACGCATCCAGGGTTGTCCCAAGCTTGGTTTTTGTTTTAGGTTTTTTGTACCCTAGGCAAATTATGATGTTGGCGCCCGTCTGCTTCAGCTTTCCATTTTCTGCAGTGGCTAGCCAGATGCGTTTGCGAAACAAAGAAGCATTGCACAAAGGATGCTGCTGCCCCCACTATGAACCCCAAGCAAGTGGCATTCTGACATATGGAAGTTACATTCCAGCCTTTGACCACCCTCTCCTTCTCCTATACTTCCTGTAATCCCCCCCCTGCCCAAAGATTCTAAGAAATTCTAGTGACCATCAGGACATGTTTTACTTGAGTGACATGTCCATGCAGAGAAGACAGATGCGTGACATGGAAGATACTGTTTCCAGGGTCAGAGCTTGGTTTCCAAAATACAAAAGAGAGCAATGGAAAGGGCAGGGACAGCCATCTAGGGCCGAAGTGCTACCACCTGCTCTACCTCCTCCCGTCCTCCCTGTACATGAGTTTGCTGGTGTTAGTTAACCTGGGGTTAGATGTTTTTTGTTTTTTTGGTGTGCGGGGGTGTGTGCACACACATGTGGAGTGGGAGGAACATCACTGCTTCCAGCTGCATTGTCTAAGCTGTGCTTTCCCCTCTGCTCTTCCTGTTTCCAGGTGTAAACTTGGGCGTGGCCGGGGGTGCCATATGAAGGCAAGAGCCCAAAGGGTTCCTAGCCATTGCCTTTCAGCCTGTGGCTCACGTCCTTGAATAATCTGGACCACAGAACTCAAGACCAGCCCAAGTTATAGTTAGTTACTATATGTGAGCATATAGTTTTATTCGAAGTCCTCGGGTTTTCTTTGCTATTGTATTTATTGGTGTCGTAAACTACATGGGATCCCTTCCCATGGCCTAAAATACCAGACAGTTCACTGCATGGTGAGTGAAGTGCGTTTTTTATTTATTTATTTATTTATTATTCAAATTTATATCCCGCCCTCCCCAACGGGCTCAGGGCGGCTAACAATAAGGGCACAAGGTTGGCTGTTAATTTATGACGTCCATCTGCATTTACCACATTATTTTTCTTCTGCTCATGATACCAGAAGCTGAGGACTTTCACTGCTGAGCTTGCTTCTAAACCAGAGATAACGCCTTCTGAAATTAGTTATTTTGCCAGATGGATTGGATCCCAGTATTTCACACCAGACCGCAGCTTTTGTTTTATGTACAGCCAAAATTAGATACAATTTCATGCAGGCGTGTTCAGTTGAAGGGAGAATTAATTCAATGTGTGATCTTTGATTCCATTACTACTTTATATGTTTCTGTGTTTATATTGGTTTTGATTGTTGTGTAGAGCTGTGATGGCTCTGGCTGAGACAATAGAAACGAGAAGCTCTGAGCCCATTGGGATTAGCTGCTGAAAATCAAATTAAAATTTTAAAAACGGTTTCACAGTTTAGTTGTAATGCACTGTTAGCAGTAGTCTGTTCAAATGGTGGTAGTGGAAAGGGCTGTCAAGGCACAGATGATTTATGGTGACCCCCCCATCAGTTTTTGAGGGAAGAGGCATTCAGGTGTGGTTTGCCATTGCCTGCCTCCGTGTTATGACCCTGGTATTCCTTGGAGGTCTTCCCATCCAAATACCAGCCAGGGCCGACCCTGCTTAGCTTCCGAGATCTGACGAGATCGGGCTAGCCTGGGCTAGTCTTTTCAGATGCAATCTTTTAAATGTGGAGGATCGGTCTATTGCTGGCCATGATAGCCAAAGGGCTCTGATGGTCAGTTGCTGGGGATTTGTGAGCATGTGAGGGAGAGCTGTGGCCAAGGAGGCCATGGCTGTGTCCTCTCTGTGGCCTCTGGTTGGTTGGAAACAGGATGCTACGCTAGCCTGGACCATTGGTCTGATCCAGCATCCCTTATGTTCTCATGGATTCAGTTCATATTCTCAGTATTCTTCTGTTGTGTCTATACTCGGGTCTGTATCGGGAATATTTGCAGTCTGAGGTCTTTCATAATAAGAATCAAATTGATCAACTGACTTTTGGATACCCGAACATTTTAATAACTCCCTCCGTGTAGGCTGTAGGTAGATTCTACCACTCAACACAAAAGTTTACCAGTTTTAACTACATATCAAGATTTCACGGGTATTCAAGATGACTGATGCTTGGCCCTAGTTGTATTTGAAAGACCTATCTGGATGTGGTAGTATAGGAGTAATAGCAGAGGGCTGAACTTCCTTTCCGGAACAGCAATTGCTTTTTGTGATGACAGCAGCCCAGATTGCCCAGTTTTGCTGAAGCTCATCACAACTTTGGACGCTGAGCAGGGTGAGCCGCCCGTAGTACTTGGATGGGAGACCACCAAGGAAGACAGGGGTTGCTATGCAGAGGAAGACAACGGCAAACCACCTCTGAACGTCTCTTGCCTGTAACACCCTGTGGATGGGGTCGCCATGAGTTGGTTGTGACTAAGCAGCACTTTCGTCTTCTTCTTCCCTATGATGAACTTGTACATCCCGTAATACAATACATTTAAGAAGAAGAGGAGATTGGATTTATACTCTGCCCTTCATTACCCGAAGGAGTCTCAGAGCAGCTTACAATTTCCTTTCCCTTCCCCTCCCCGCAATGGACACCCTGTGAGGTTGGTGGGGCTGAGAGAGCTCTCTCAAGAACTGCTTGTGAGAGAACAGCTCTGAAAGAACATGTAACTGACCCAAGGTCACACCAGCAGCTGCATGTGGAGGAGTGGGGAATCAAACCCGGTTCTCCCAGATTAGAGTTTGCACTCCTACCCACTACACCAAACGGGCTCTCTTGAGACATGGTTTGTTTTTTCTGAGGATAGGGGGAATTTGTGCTTCTGAATTTATTCCCCACCAACTTTTTCAAGGTCAGAAAAATGCAGAAAAGACAAGAGTTGAGTTAGTAGTTTGTAAGACCAACTCATTGGCCCATGAATTGAAAAATGCTGCAGTTCATCAGCATTTAGTTTAGTGCAGTGGTTAAGAGTGGCGGACTCTAACTCTAATCTGGAGAACCGGGTTTCATTCTCCACTCCTTCACATGCAGCCAGCTGGGTATCCTTGGGTCAGTCACTTTTCTCTCAGAGCTGTTCTTTCAAGGGCAGTTCTTGAAAGAGCTCTCTCAGCCCCACCTACCTCACAGGGTGTCTGTTGTGGGGAGGGGGAGGGAAAGGAAATTGTAAGCCACTCTGAGATTCCTTCAAGTAGTGAAGGGTGGGGTATACATCCAACTCTCCTCCTCCTCCTCCTTCCAGCCTTTTCAGTACTTCTGCATGAGAATCTACTGTTTTGCAGTTCCTTTAAAACAAGACCTTTCACGAACCTCTTTCTCCCCCTCATTTCTGAAAGCTTCCATTCTATTTAGCTACAACTAACTTGGTCCATTGCTTTCAGTGGGAAAGTAGTCAAGAGTAGCTGTTGCTAGACTGGGGCTGTGGTTAGGAATAATACTATTTGAGGTAGAAAAGTAGACAAATAATTGTGCTATCACTTTTTGGTAGGGTTGCCAGGTCTCTGGCGTAAATTAATGTGACGTGTATACAGTTTTCTACATGACCCAGAAATGACATAGGCTACATGACCCGGAAATGACATAGGCACGTCGGGGCGATGCTCTGGTTT